GAGGAAGAAGAGGATGAGCATGATTTGGATGGTGCTGACTCCGCCGACGCACTGGACGATGAGACAGCTCGCGTATGTGCTTTTACACCCCACTCTAACCTGTAGATTTTGATGGCTTTCTTCAGACATTTCTTTTTTTTTAGTGAAAATTTCATGCCAAAACCATTCGAGGAAGTTAAGTTTTTGGCGGAACAGCAGGTGAATTTTAAATTATTTTTTTTTTTTTTTTAGGCTGAGGAGCACGATGGGTCGACACGAGCACCGCGTGTGCGCCGCAGTTCGCGGCGTCGACGATCTCCTGCAGATCCTTCGTCATCAACGGATTCGCTTTACAATACGTTGCCACGGCGGTCAACACGTCAGCATAAGTAATCTCAGCTAAATTTCTGTTTCTGATTCGAGTATTTCGGGTGGAAGCACCTGCTTTTTAGCGTACGTTGCTAATAATCGTGAAGTGAATGCTGATTCGAAATTTGTTGCATGGACAACAGATGTGTTGCTGACTCATCCTGGTAAAAGTGATGAGTTTTGTCTAGTCTGTAAAATAAGCCGCAGACTTGAGCCCGAAATCACGTGAAGTACTTTTTTCTACTTGTCTAGGTGTCTTTTTTTTTTGCACTTTTACCAGTAAAAGAGAGAGAGATGCGCTTGCAAATGCGATTTTATCCAGGTAGGGTGACGAAGGACTTTGTAACAAATGAAGTAGTGGACCTGGGCTTATGAAACCGTTAAATTATAAGTTTTTTTTAATGCTCTCATATGTCGATCAGCTTTCATTTTATCCCAGCTGTTTTTCGTGCTGTGGGCACAGCTATCAACCCCTCTTATTGGCTAATCAGCGAGGGAGCGAGTGTTCTTTCGCCCCCTCCCCCCCACCGCCCATCTTCTAAGGGGCTCAGGTAGCAGTTATTTCAATGCACAAAAGTCTGTTCGGTACCTTTTTAAGGTTGGAACAAAAATGTGTAAATGCTGTTGGAAAATATAAGAAAGGATGATAGAAAAGATAAAAAGGGAAGGATGTAAAAAAGAAGTATTAAATTAGGTAAGAAATGTTTCGGTCCATTAAGTCCTATACATTCCTTACCGATTCTCCTCCCCCCTCCCATGAGACCGCCCCTGGATCCGTCTGGGACCCCTCCATGATTGTTGTAAAAGTTGTATCATTCTGTGGTCAGCTTGCTCCTGCTTGAACCTT